TCGACTACGTGGGAGTCCAGCGACATAGCCATTATGCTAACTGCTGGTCCCTCAAAACTTAATTTTTAAAAAAGGATTATTTAATTTTATTCCCACTTTTTAATTTAATTTAATTTATTTAATTCCGTTTGTTCTTATTACTTTTTTAAAAATTTGATCACAGAGGGAGAGAAAGGGAAAATAAGAAAGCAAGCCACCAGGTCTGAGACTCAAACCATGGTCTGCCACGTGGGAATCCAGCACCCTTAACCACCACATCACCTGCCGGCTCCTACCATTTTTCTTTTTCAAGAATTATATTTTTGGGGCTGGCAGATGGCATGGTGGTTAAGGGTCCTGGACTCCCACATGGCTGACTGCAGTTCAAGTCCCGCACCTGGTGGCTTGCTTTCTCACTTTCTCTCTCTCTCTCTGGTCAAATGAAAATGGATAAATAAATAAAAGAATAAAATAAAATAAAATAATTCTTTAAACAGAAAAACTTACTTAATTTTATTTGTTTAAAGAATTATTTTATTTTATTTATTTTATTTTATTTTTTTATTTGACAGGAGAGAAACAGAGAGAAGGAAAGTGAGAAAGCAAGCTGCCAGGTCTGGCTCGAACCGCAGTCAGCCATGTGGGAGTCTACTGTTCTAACCACCACTCTACCTGCTGGCTCCACTATTATTTTTTAATTTGACTGGAGAGAGAGAAAAGGAAAGTGAGAAAGCAAGCTGCCAGGTCTGGCTCGAACCGCAGTCAGCCATGTGGGAGTCTACTGTTCTAACCACCACTCTACCTGCTGGCTCCACTATTATTTTTTAATTTGACTGGAGAGAGAGAAAAGGAAAGTGAGAAAGCAAGCTGCCAGGTCTGGGATTCAAACTGTGGTCAGCCATGTAGTAGTGGTTAAGCCAGTGCCTTAACCACCATGCCACCTGCGGGCCCCTCATTTATTTGTTTAATTTGCCAGAGAGCACATACGCTCATCGGGGTGGGGGTGGGCGAGTGCGCGTTCTTCCAGGAGAGAGCACGCGCGTGGGAAGTGGCTGTGCCATGACCCCGTCTCCTCCACGTCGCCTTCTGGGACCCTGGACACAGGCCCGGCATGTTTCTCTAGCTGTTGGTTCTGGACTCAAATCATGCAGTTGGCTTACGGAGCCCAGCCGCCTTCATCACCAGCCTACAGGATGGCCCTCGTTTTAAAAACAATGTGAGAGACCATACCACGTCCTACAGAGCTAGACAGTAAACATCTGGCCCCAACAGAAAAGGTTTGCTGACCCCTTTATAAAAGTTTGGGGGTTTCCTGTCAGCCAGGCTTTAGGTTTTGAGAAGATGAAGTCCAGTTTTTTCTCTCTCTCTCGTATTTTTTTTCCTTTTTCTCTCTTTTAAGATATGAATTAAAGCTATGCGGGCCAACCTGTGGTGCAGCAACTAACCCCTGTGATCCACGTGGCCAGCTGCAGTTCAAATCCCAAGCCTGGTGGCTTGAAAAATGCAGTGAATGTAGAATATCTAGTTTTATTTTGAAGTACTTCAGAGGTCCGTCTCTGACCCCATGCTACATCAGCACTCACGGAACACTTGAAATCAGACAGGCTTTGTGTAGCCTGGGCGGGACTCGGGGCAGCGAACCACTTACGTGGCCTGCCAGGGCTGCTATAGCAGCCTCACCAGGCATGCGCCCGCGGGGGGCAGTAGGGTTCCCTGGGACGTGCCCAAGCAGCTCCTCAGAGGTCTGGGTCTTTTTCTCTGAATCTTGGGGTCTTTCCTTTCAGCCCAGAGTACTCGCTCTTCGTGGGGGACCTGACCCCCGACGTGGACGACGGCGTGCTGTACGAGTTCTTCGTCAAGGTCTACCCCTCCTGCCGGGGAGGCAAGGTGGTTCTGGACCCGGCAGGCGTGTCTAAGTAAGGCCCGACCTGTGGCTGGCGCCTGTCTGTCAGCTTCGCGGTCTCCTGTCCTGGGCGGGGCATCAGGACAGATGGCGCAGTGTCGTGAGGAGCCCAAATCTGGACCCAGACTGCCTGCCCTGGGCCCCAGCACCCGCACTGGCTCTGGGTACAGCAGAGGTCACTCAGGCGCTCTGACCCGAGTTCATCACCTGTAAGATGGGGCCAGTTAATAGGATTTGCTTATAGAATTGACGTATGAGTTGACAGATGCATATAAATTGGATAAGAAGCACGGAGACAGAGAGGAGTGGGAGAAAGCTCCCCCACGGCGTGGTCCCACCGCAGTCCCTTCCCCACTTCTCCCTCCTGTCCAGGTTTTGGGCACCTTATCTCTGCACCTGTGTGGCCCTTAGTAACGTGCACTCCTGCCTTCCTGGGTTTGTGGACAGCCCCAGGAGGCAGCCCTGGGGATGTGCACAAGCACCCTGCGTGGTTCCCAGGCTGCGGGCCTGGGGGTGGAGCTGCACCGCTGGCCTAGTAGGATCTGGCTACAGGACGGCCCCACATTTGTGAGTGTATTTGTCCCTACTGCTGAACTCGCCGGTGAAGGTAGGCATTTCCCGCTTCAAGCATGGAAAAGCCAGGCTAGTCCTGGAGCACCCAGGCTAAGCCTGGTGTCAGAGCTGGCGCCACGTGGTCAGCTGTAGTTCGAGCCTGGCCCTGGTGACTCGAAACTGTCCCCGTGCCCATGCGTGTCTAGAACCTTGACAGCATGGGCAGATGGAGGAGAAGGGACTGCAGCGTGACCACACCCCTCTGCAACAGCAAATGGGAAACCTCCAGGAAGGCTCAGCTCCTAGGAGTTACAGGCTCTGGTTTTGACAGTCTGACAAATGTGGGTTTGAATCCTGCTTCTGCTATGGTCTGGAGCCAGTCGCTAAGTCTCTGCAATTGTGTGGCCCTTAGTAACATGCACTCCCACCTTCCTGGGTTTGTTGGACAGCCCCGGGAGGCAGCCCTGGGGATGTCCCCACATACACCCGGAAATGCTCGCTTCTCGAGCACTCGGGAGAGCCGGATGCTGGTCTGAGTGCCTGGGCCCCAGGCAGCCCGGCACGGGGCAGGCTGTGTGCACCTGCACAAGTGACCTCAGCTGCTGCTGCCGCCTTCGTGAGCATCACAGTCCCGTCCCACACGGTGGAGGGAGGCCCCTCTGGGAGTGAAACCCGGGGTGCAGCTATCAAGCAGAATGGTGAACAGGAAGTGGGAGCTGTGCAGCTCTGGGTACTTCCTCCGAGGGGACAGTCGTCCCTTCTAGTAGCCGGTAGACCCCCCTCCTCGGTCATTCCTGCCCGTTCCCTGGCCCGTTCGTGTCCAACCCGCTTCCGCGTGCCCCGTGCTCAGCCCTCCCCTGTTGCCGTCCGAGTAACGTGCCCACTGTTTCCCTCCTGCAGGGGTTATGGATTTGTGAAATTTACAGACGAACTGGAACAGAAGCGAGCCCTGACGGAGTGCCAGGGGGCAGTAGGTCTGGGGTCCAAGCCCGTGCGGCTGAGCGTGGCCATCCCCAAAGCGTGAGTCCAGCAGGGTGTGTTGGTCTCTGGCTCCCCCAGACACTTCTCTGTTCCTGAGAACCTCGGCATCAGCATGTCACACGTGGCTCAGGGAGAGTGGGCGCAGTCGTGGGTGCCGAGCCTGCCGCCTGCCAGGCCGGGCGCAGTTGGGGTGCCGAGCGCCCACCATCTGCCAGGCCAGTTGCCGAGTGTGGAGCCCGCCGCCTGCCAGGCTGGCTGGGTCTTGGAACAGCTGTGGGACCCCTCTCCCCAGGAGCAGGGCAGGCCTGGGCACAAGGCCTTGTCCTTCAGTGCTGGAGGGGCTGAGTGGCCACCCGGGCCTGATGACTCTGCTTGTGCCCAGTGGGCCACTGCCAGGCACTTACCCATGTAACAGGGATCGAATGGGGGCCGGCAAGTGGCTTGGTGGTTGTTGGCGCTGAACTCCCACATGGCCAACAGTGCTTCAGGTCCCTGACCCAGTGCCTTGAAACTCAGCCATAGGACGTGTGTGCTCGCCAGCCAAAGAGACAGAGACAGAAAGTGAGAAATCGTCCCTCAGGGGGAATGGCCACGCCACAGTCCCTTCTCCATTCTCCTCTCGGGATCTTGGGCATGCATGCACACGTGCCCTGAGTGAGTTTAAGCCACCGGGTCTTGGACTCGAGCCGCGGTCGACTACATGGGAATCCAGCATCATAGCCATTACGCCAGCTGCTGGGCCCACAAA